GTCATGGTGATGGATGATAATAACTATTAACTTTTCTGAGGTGTTCTGATATTGTTATCATAGAACTTTTTAGTTTAAGCTAGAACGCTACTCAAGTCATTTACTTAATTTTTACATATTTGATATTTCACGTCACGAGGATGAGGAAAATGGAATGAAAATATGGGGATAATTGTTTTTATTGTGATCTATTGAAATTCCTGCTGAAATGACAATTTATGCATATTATTTTCCTTTTTTTTCTCAAAGACAGATTGTGAGCTAAAAACTCTCACATACTGTTATTGCGATATGCGCTAATATATGTGCACATGTCGAAAACACAGGTATCTTTCTACCTTAATCTTTTTTTTTTAATTTAATTTTATTTTATTTTATTTTATCTGAGCTTCGTTATAGAATTAACACTTATATTCTACCAAGCTGAGTAGAAAGCAAGTAGTCAAGTGTGAGGAATGGAATTAAGTACTGTAAAATACTTTATTTTTTCTGGAATTAATTTTGCTGAAAAGACTTTTTGCGTATTTTGTATGGAATTTATTTTCACTGATTTTTCACAAGTTGAATCTAAAATATAGGAAAAAGACATATTCGCTGGATTTTATTTTTTACTGAATTACTCCTACAGCGAATATAGCGAAAATGAAGTATTTTATAGTATTGGATTGCATAATTTTTGTGTTTACAAAACCAGAGAATGAGACTGTAAATTCAAATACAAAACTAGAAAACTCTTAACCTAAAATGTAAAATAAAATTAATAATACAACTATTTTTCTAACAAAAATTTTGGGTTGGGTGTGTCTGTCTTTCAAATTTCAAAATGAGCTAACATCATTAGTCTGTTTTCTATAGGATCCTGTGTTTGATGAGAATCATATCCCACTTAATCTTTAAATGTCATATTTTTACCCACCAACATGTTGGAACAACATCTTGTTTATAACTTCCTTTAGTATTAAGGAGGTTTGGGTTGAATTGAAGATTATTTTATCTTATTCATGCTTATATATTTTTTTATGGATTAATGCAAACAGCTATCAAAAATAATAATGGTTACCAAACGACTGTTATGATTATTGTTTTTTTTATAGGTGACTTTGGTGTTCAGTTAAGGTAATTTTAATAAACAGAAATGAATTAACTACATTACAAAAAAAAATTTTTTTACCATATATTCGATAGATATTTTCCCACTGATTTTTCTAATTCTAATCAACATCAAACATCAAATCAAAATATTATGTATGTTGTACGATACTGTGATCAAATATCTCACATTAGACAAGTTTTGAGTTCTGTCGTAACCTTAGAAAATTGTGGGGGTGATTTCATCGCATAAACATTTGATAGCTCATCAGTGTGAAACCAGTGAATAAATTACGCAAGCAAAAAATCAATTCCTACTTATCACACGGAAACTGACTGGCGGTGCTATAACTCAAATCTTGTCTATTCATTTGACTTTAAGTGAGTTTTTCATCAGATTTCACATCACATGCATTTCATGGAGGATATTTAAATCCAGATTTTTAACAAATTTTCAACATACAGGCATTGGTAATGATTTGATTCAAATTATGAAATAAATACATTTTGCGGCAGGTGTCATGTGATATTCAAAAAACACTAATGTTTATATTGTAATTCACATCTTGTTTTTTATTTGAACAGAATTATGAAGATTGTTTTATTTAGTTTTTAATTTTTTCGGTTTTGTCATTATGTCGCATGTTGAGAAGGTGCTTTTCTGTATAAATAGGGTATTATAAACGAGACAGGTTTTGTCAGTCGCGCACAGATTTTTATGTTTCTAATACTACCAAATATCTTGCCTACAAAAAAGCTTAACAATGTATTGTACCTAATCATGTTTTTACCTTGGCTATTGCTTTAGGTTACTTCACAGTCAGCTGGTATTTGAAACCAAAATTGTCATCTGACTGTAAGGCCGTCGCTGATTGGCTGCTGAGCTGGAATGACATTTTTTGGTTTCAAATACCCCAGGAAAGTGTTCTATGTTCTTCGTGTAATTAGGTGTTCGTATTTAAGGGATTTTTCCACACAATAACGACGAATTCGATCCGAATTTTGTTATCGGCTGGCTTAATATTATCCCATTGGATCGTATTTCTGTGAAAGATTTTGTATTTTTGTCCAGATTTGTAGGAATCTGAAAAACACGTTTCACAACTTGTCTCTTATTTAGTTTTATGCTGCATTCAAGATGGCGACCCCATATAGTAAATATCGTATTTTTTTTATTATCACGTGTGTGCCAGCTGACTGTGGGTTACTTGGACATTAAAGCAGAGGGGTAGTTACCTGCACACAAACTGAATTGAGTCCCGGGTGATGATAACACAGCACGCTTAAAACGCAAAGGCGTGGCTAGACACTTGGTTGTAAACAATGACACACTATGGCCGTCTGCTGCATGCACAGGTAACAACCCTCCTTCACTATAATGTAACACAACTACACCTTGTATCGAATGCAAAGCCAAATAAAGATTTACAGTACTTATAAAACATTGTTTAAATATGTGATGTCATCATTTTAAGTTTAGCTGCAAGCAGAGCACATACTGTTGTCCAGTCACTTTAAACAGTTTACTTTTCTAATACCTTTCCAACCGAAACGTTTTTTTCTTTTTATTCAATATACACAAGCCACACATTACTCTGTAATGTTGCATTTTAAAAATTTATATTGGTACCTTAAAATTTGATTAGTAAATAGAAGATTCCCGAAAATGATTGATAGCAGAGGCCACAACATTTCCCATCATGCCTTGGAGATTAAACATTTTACTGTATTTTTGTGTTGTGATGACTGAAGTAATAGTAACAACATCAAAAGCTTATACGATAACAATACAGAACTCAATAGGGCGCTGCCCAATGTAAATCCAAGCAACTCGATAATATCTAATACTAGTAATAGTAATGTCCATATTAGTACAATCTGTCTCATTATCCCATATCACCCGTATAATTTATTCATTATTACAATACAACAATTCGATTGCCTGAATCAATTGTCAAATAAGGGGTATCGTGCTGCATTGCAAATTTTATTTGAATCTATGGGATGCAAACTAATTATCACTTGGCAAGCAAAGCACAATTCTTATCAAGACCAGTCAAAGCTGATTCAGGCATTGTACACCAGACGATGCATCAAAAGATTCTGCTCTACGCGACCAGTTGTCAATCAAACTGTTACAACAGGCATATTTTTGTATTCATATAATATTTAAAAAAATTACATTACTCCAACTAAAGCTTACATGTCAAAAAGATATGCAAGCATGATATGCGTATATGTTTGGAACTGCGCATGCTCTGGTCTCTGCTTCAAAATATCCGCGTAGATGGGTTGATTCATATTGCTCGGGTGTTTCGATTTTCACAGGATTTAACTCGTTTTAGTTCGAATAAAGGTAATGCAAGTCGATCGATAGTTTCTACCGATATCATGCTTGAGTTATGTGAAGCGGATCGAAATATAATTTGAAAAATCGTGTTATTTTCGGGAAGCTTCGATGTCATGGTGTCAACGCTTTCCTACCTCGTGTTGTTATATGAGTAGTAGGGGAATGTACCGGCGACTGACTAACTATACCGATCCCACTTTAGGTCATTTTTTATTATCCGAAACGTTCCGAGCGCCTGTGGTTGGGAATGGACATAGGGACTACGTCTCAGAGTTCCGTCAGACTCTTTCTCACCCCAATATATTTACTAAATATTGAATCTTCTTTCAATTCTGGCTGTTCTTCACGTGTTTCTTCTCTATTCGTTGCATGCCTTGTCTCATTTTCTGGCTGGCTCTAGTCCCAATTACTGACAAGCTCCCTCTACAGTTTATTGTCGATCCTTTTTTGCGTCGGTTTAGCCAGTTACACCCGCAATTGCAGTCTTGCTGGCCAGTTTTTTACCAGTTTTTCTACTGAACTTGACCAATTTTCAGTGTCACTGTTTGGCACATTTGGCCTCCTTATTGCCACTTGTTCTTCCATCAACCAGCAGATCAGTTCTGAACCCAAGTATAATTTTAAATAGTTGTAGTGTAAAATTGTTCACATCGCCTTTGCATTCTTTTTAACTTGATAACAATCTGTTAATCTTTCCATGACCATTGTGATCTGTCCCATTTTGTCCGGGGTTTCAGTTACTTTCCTTTAGGTGTCTAATACCCACATACATTTTTCGATTTTCAATCTTGCAGCCGCATTCCATACCTCCATCTTCTTATTATTAATTCTTTGGCAACTTTGTGTGCGTTTTGCAACCACCATAATGATAGTTCAATGGTCGTAACATTTGGGGTTCCGCCATCATTGTCAAGTTTAACAGTGTCGTAACTTAACATCCCATCACAGTTTGGTGTTTATTGGATGGTAGCGTGTTTGCTATGCCCAAATATTCATACATTTACCTGCAAGTATTTCCAAACAGAATGAAACGAAATAATACTACTTGCAGACAATATATTTCTCCATGGTTGTACCAATGTGCTATCCAAAGCCAAAACAGGAAATTTGAAGAAAACCACTAAATAATTTTAAAATGGAGCGTTTATGTAAGTCGTTATGGTTTGGACTCAATTTTGAATGCATATTTGAGATAGTCAAACAAATCATTTACCTTCTATATTTTTACCAAATATTGAAAGGTTTTTATGAAAGCTGCCACAATAAGCTTGATATCATGTTTGCTA